CCTTACGCATTAAGGAAAATCATTTCTGCTTCCTTATATGGAATTGAAAAAGGGAACGATTCTAAAAATAACTCTTCCCTTGAAATATAAATCTATTTATATTTCAATGGTATGTTTTCAGCCTTGAATTCCCAAAATAGAATCTCTCTACGCTTATTCTTTAACAATATGGTTGCATAAGTTGTCAAAGTAAAGGCAATATCTCTTAAATAAAAAAATAGATAGATAAATAGAACACACGTAAAAATAGATACTCAAAATTTATAAATTTTCTACATTTTTAAGGAATTTCTTACGAAACACTCTGAACAAACATTTCGTCAAAATGAAAAAAAAAATAGCTATCGTCATTAGTTTCAGTATACAAATCTCGTCAAAAGTATTACGTTAAATTAACCTGAATATAACAACTTGCCACATGGTGAGTAAACTAGAAAATGTGGTTACTTAAATTATGTAAACAGCAGATCACTTTTCACCCATTTTGTTAAATATTTATAATATTTTCTTGCAGAATTAACTTTTTACAACCGTATATTATTTCTAACATGATTTTTTTTTAAAATATATAATTTATTTCAAGCAAAAAAGAATAAATCAAAAAGGCGCTATTAAATAAAAAGAACATATTGATTCATTAGGTTTGAGGAAAAAGTGGCTATTAAGTTATTTGAGTCTACTGGCCACTGGCTCTAGCAGAAAATTTAAATTTTCAGGTCTAAGTTAAAAGCTAAGCTATCGATAAAAGTAACTGTTTTGGAAATACTAGAATAAAAGAAGTGTGTAATCAGTTAAAACCAGGAAACGGAATTGGGAAACTTGATCGACAAGTGAACGCACAAAACCCTGCATAAGGTATTAAAATCAGAACGTGTCGAAGTTTTTTCAAGATTGCATTGCGAGGACACATGAGTGAGGAAGCAGTTTCGGCATAATTCCCTGATTTTATGACAAATGGTTGACCACAACACAATACAGCTCAATAAATGCTGAATAGTGGAAAGTGTAAATTTTATTTCTGAAAGTGTAGGCGTGGCAGTTATTTGAATCATCATCTTCTCTTAAAAGTACTTCAGTAGATACAAAGCACTTAAAATGAAAAAAAAAATTGTTTAAATTACAAATGAACGAGAAATTACAACATTTTAAGTCTTAAGCGTAAAAAAAAGCAACAAACAAACGCCCAATCAAAGTCATTTAAGTCAAAGAAATAAACAAAAACGGGGGATTTCATTTAACAATTTTTAAATTTATTTTGTCAAGTCTTTAAATTTAGCAGTAATTTAGTGGACGAGGATTTTAATCGAAAATCTTAGAGTGTTGTCGGAGTTGAAGATGGTTCCTTTGGCAAACAGACAACGATTAATCTTAGAAAAAGCTACTTTTTTTGTGAGCAAGCTAAAATACCAAGTGTGCGAACGCTAAAATGCAAGTGTTTATAATTTTCGCCAGTTGTAATAATCTGAATTTTCTATCGTCATCATACAAACATCAAAGTTAATTTACATAAATTCCCTAAAACTTTACGCAGGACAGACGTACAAGCAGCTCTTCTATTATCAATCACTATCCGACAAAACAATTAATCGGTTATAATAGGTAATGCTATTTCTTTGTAAAGTTAAATAATATATATAATATGCTGGCAGAAAAAAGGATTTTTGCCAAATAAAACCACAACTTAAAAAAAAAGAGAAAAAACAAAAGATTTTATCTTGTTACACATGACAGGGTGCACATAAATGTCTTTAAGAAATGTGAGAACTTCATCGTCGCTTCAACATCTGTTTTTCGAATCGATGGATTTTAACACATTTGAAAAAGTCGGGTACTACATGCTTGTAATGCTGGTGGGGATTTGGCAGGGCTGGGTGTTTATCGTCCCTCAGAGACATTTACGGCTGATCGTAAAAACGTCTTTCAGGGTTTNTGCAATAAATTATTCAATTGTTCTGAAATTTTAATCATTTACTATTCTGTACATTGTTTTCTTATCCACCAATTTTCGTTTCAATCGGATAACTCCTTCTTGGTGCGTCGATTTTTTTTGTTATAGAGTGTATGGTTAGAAAAATTACACAACCGAAAACGTCGAAATAAAGTACTTTTGAAAGAGTCGTGTTGGTTAAGGGTCAAAATTTCGAGAACGGCGTGAAGATTATTTGAACAATTTCAGCTGTCCTAAAAATGCAAAATGGTAAAACAGATAATATTCAAATAATTCTTTGCCTGGTTGATAGGTCACAGGGCCCATGTCCAAGAGCTCGTGGGTTCGATCCTCGCCTACCGAAGACTCTCCGTGTAGTAAATGGTGACTGATGTACGTTATAACTGTCGAGTCGCAAAGCTCTCCATGTTCCCATAACAAATCAATACCTCTGGAAGTACTGATGCAGGAGTTTCCTTGTCTTCTGGATTGGTTCAAAATTACAAGGCTACGGAGCTGAACATTGGTAGTCGTAAACCCAAAATTGGGTAGGCTGTTCAACGACGGGTGTAAAAAAAATAATAAAAGGAATCAGTTAAAAAAATTGCTTTTACGTATCATCTAAACAAGTGGAATTTTAGAGTAGGCTGTGCCAGACGCACGTGTTTATCACCTCTTAATTTCTACCAATGCGGTCACCGTTTACCTGAATTCCGGGATTTTGTGGTTAGCTTTAGAAAAAAATTCATAATCTGAAGTCATATTTGAAGCACGACGTTTGTTGCATAGCAAACTAAAGTGGATTTATTGCCTTCGATTATAAAAACTGTCAATGGAACTGCCGATGGATCTCCGATTTTAATTAGCGTGTTACATTTTCTTTCTGTATAGTATCGTTTGGCTGCAGCCAAACGTTTGGTTTCGTATACGTGTGGCTGCAAGGTTTAATCATATTAATCAAGCAATTTTCAATTATATCAAAGTTCTTCATCATTTTTAGATTACTTCATATGCTGGAAATTAGTAACATAA